AGAGGAAGAGAGGAGCAAGAGGCCTGTTGGTAAGGGTTGGGAGTGGGGCTCAAGTGGTAGAAACCCTGCCTAGAGTCTACCAGTGGGGGACTGGGTGTGTGACTCAGTGGCACCTGCCTAGAATCCCCCAATGAGGGGCTGGGAAACTTTTGCTAGAATACTTGCCTAAGATTCTGGGAGGCCATGGGTTCCATCCCAACACCACAATTTTTTTTTTTTTTAATTCACTGAGTCAGAGACATGGGGAAAAAATACCGAAAAATAAATGAGAACAACCAGGCAGTGTTAGCACAGACCTTTAATCCCAGCATTTGGGAGGCAGAGGCAGGTACATCTCTTGAGTTCAAGGCCAGCCTGGTCTATGGAGCTAGTTCCAGCACAGCCAGGGCTACACAGAGAAACCCTGTCTTGAAACAGCTCCCACCCAAAGAAAAACGCTCAGAGAAATGAGTTTAATGGAGAGATGTCCAGAAAGGTTGAGAAAGGCAGGTGCACAGAGATGCTAGTCAGGCTTGGGAGCTGGGAGGATTGGATACCGAATGATATCCATAATCCCAGCATGCAAGAGGCTGAGGCAGAAACATCAACACCAGTTCTAGGCCAACCTGGGCTGCATAGGAACAGTCCATCTCAAAAAGCAAAAAAAGAAAAGAACAGAAAGCACATAGGCAACTCTAAGACTTCAAACTTGTTCAAACTAGGAAGTCTCCGGAAAGAGAAAGCCGTAGACCTCTGGAAAGAAGTACAAGGCCAGGCCTGTCCTGAATCCTTGGTTGCCTTCCCCACGTGGTGAAAACGGCCTGGCTACTTCTTCCTTAGCCTCCCAGCTTAGCTCACTTTGACACTTCATCCAGGAAGCCATCCACCATTGTGTGACAAGTCCTGGGTCAGATGCTGCTGAGGTTCAGAACAGGGACGTCAATGCAGTTTCTGTCCCCAGGAACTACTTACTATTCAAATGGAAGACACAGAGCCTTAAAACATGGCGGCTCCAGGAGCGATAGGTCAGGCAAAGGGATCTCAGGTTGATAACTTTAGAACAGGTTCATGAAAACTAAAGCCTAGAGAAATCAGTGTGGTTGACATGTGCAAAGGTCCTGAGGTAGTAAGCTGCATGGCTCCACACAGAAGCAGCCACGAGCCAGACAGACTCACAGACCCACCCCCAGAAGAGAGGCCACCTAAGGACCTGAGGACAACCAGGGACAATTCAGACAGCAATGTGGTGAAGAAGTCCTATTCTTTCCAGAATTTTCCCTACGGGGAAAACCTCCTAGGCCCTGGAAAAAAAAAAAATCTGGGTCCCCCATCTGCCTCCCTGTGCCCTGCCCACTCACACCTCAGGCAGAGGAAGCTGGCAAGCCCCACAGGAACCTTTGTGTGGAGGGGGGGCAGTGAATGGGGCGGGTGGCAGAGATGAAGGGAGAGGAGTGCCGGGCAGGCGGGCAGCGGGCAGCGGCTACACAAAGGCCCCAGTGTCTGCCCCTCCTGCCCCCATACAGATATAAATAAGATGTGCATATACCTTTTTATATATACCAGCGGGCTGGGCCAGAGGCTGGAGCCGCTCTGTCCCTGAAGGGCCAAGGCACAGCAGAGTCTGCCGCTGTGGCAAAGACTTGAACTAAGAGAAAAGCAGCTGGAGAGCCCAGACTTGGGAATGACACGAAAGCTGATTCTGAACCTGGAGACAAATCTGAGAAACAAACTTGACTGGCGAGAAGGGAAAGGGTGGCAAAAGATTGACAGAACGAAGAAAAGGGCTGTGACAGGGAACATAGGCGAGAGGAAGTAGGTGCAGAGAGAAAGCAAGAGATTAAAATTCAGGGAGCACGGGTGTGGGTGTGGTGGCCTGTAACCCCAGCACCTGGGAGGTGAAGTTAGGAGGAACAAGGGTTTGGGGTTCTCCTGGGCAACAAACTGAGTTTGCGATCAATCTGGGCTATGTGTCTCAAACTCCACACCACCACCACCACCACACACACTCCATTAAAAAAAATAAAAAACAAGCTAGGCACGTAGTTCCCTTAGTAGAGTGTTTTCTAATGTGAAAGAAGCTCTCGGTTCAATCCTGAACACCCCCAAAACTGGGCATGGGGGCGGCTCATGCCTGTAATGTCAGCATTATGGCAGTAGAGGAGGAGGAAACAGGAGTTCAGGTCATCCCCAGCTACAGTGAACTCCAGGCTAGCATAAGCTACATGAGATCCTGGAGCAATGCTTCTCAACCTGTGGGTCATGACCCCTTTGGGACCCAAAAACCTTCTTCACAGGGGACATATGCATATCAGATTTTTACATTACGATTCATAACAGTAGCAAAATGACAGTTATGAGAAGCAATGAAAATAATTTTATAGCTGGTAGTCACCATGTGAGGAACTGTACTAAAGGGCCTCAGCTTTAGGGAGGCTGAGAACCACTGCTGGAGAGAGAGAGAAAGACAGAGACTGAGCGATAGAGACCAGGTTGAGGCCGAAACTGGGACTGTGGGTGCAGGGACGCTGGGGCCATGGCAGTGGGCTGTGGTCCAGCTGGGCTGGGAGCAGCTCTAAGGGTAAGGAGCAGAGGTGAGGGAGGTGCCCTGGGCCTCCGGATCCTCGTGTTTACCTGAGGCAGGCATGGCAAACAGGCGTCCAGCCTGGACCACAGCAGCCAGGGTAGGCAGGGCAGGGCTGCAGTCCTGGCACCAATGAGCCCGACACGCCCACCTGTGGCCTGAGCGGTGAGTAACACACACACTGGCACCAGGGGAGATGGTGACACATTCGTGGACAGACACAGTGACGCACAGTGACCAATATAGGCAGATCTGAGGGACAGGTCTGAGGGACAGAGACACGATGCTGCACATAGAAAGTGACAGATAAAGGTGACAGACAGGATGGCAAGTGACAAGACAGTGACAAAGAGACGGAAGGACACACACCAATTTGCTGAGACACTCATTACAGAACAAAAGAAGAGCAACATCAAAATGACACTAAGAAATATATAGAGGTGTATGATAGACACGACTCACGCCCGCACACACACACACTCACACCCCTGTGAACTGCCCCGACCGCTGGCTCCTGTGTGTGAGGCAGGGAGTGGGAGGTATCCTCTAGAATAGTAGAATAGTGGAGGTTCAGGGCACTGAGTCTTGGCCTCATGGCCTGCCTAGCACCCCAGTAATTAGCTGTGTGACCTTAATCAAGTCAAGGCACCTTTCTCCCTCAGTTTTTGCCCATAATAAAGTAAGGAGCCCTAGACAAGGGTTATTCAAATTTCTCATTACTTCTTGTTGTAGTTTTTTTCTTCTTAAGAGACACAGACTCACATGTAGCCTAGGTTGGGCCCCACACCAGTAACTCCTGCCTCTCCACCTCCTGAGTACGGAGACACACAGGTGTGGGCCACTTGGCCCAACAGCTGGGGCCACTTCTATGGTCATTATCTCATCTCAAAGTGTCCCATAGAGCCCTGTGCCCAAGTAGGGACCCTGCTCCCTAGCCTCAGTTTCCCACCCACAGGGCTTTTCCTTAGACTATGTCACTTCAGCCCCACAACTCTGCCCTCTATGTTCTCAAATTCCCCCCACCCCCATTCCCGACCCATCCCTCATCCCTTGCGTCCTGCTGTCTGTCCCACGTCTGGCGGTGGTACTTTTCCACGTTGGACACCAGCCGGCTGTCCCTGGGGTGGGGGGTCACACCTGCCCACGCCAGGCGAGGCCAGGCGAGCTGGTGGCCACCAGACACCCTGATGAATGGCCCCACCCTCCCCTAAGGACCCTACAACAACACCCCGCCTCTCAGGCCACCTGAGGTCCCCAATGGGGCAGCCTGAGGCCCGAGCCTGGGGACAGGAAGCCCCAGGCCTGGCTGCCTTGAAAGCCTCTTTCAACCTGGGCCTCCTCCCGCCGCCACCGACTCCTCCTGCGGAATAATATTTGGGCTGTTGGCCGGGGGGGCGGGGGCCAGATCCGGAGGCCGCCGGGGAGAAGCCAGAAACCGCAGGGCTTCCTGCCTCAGGCCGGCGACCCCCAGGCCCGGGGGAGGGCCCGGGCCCGGGGAGACTGAAGGCCTTTCTCTCGGTCCCAGTTGTTTTTTCCAGGAACCGGGAGGAATTCCCCGGGACAGCCAGGCTGGTGGGACCTCTGACAACTGGGAGCCAGCAAGGCAGGGGGCGACGTGTGTGTGTGTGTGTGGGGGGAGAGTGACACGCAGCCTGGGCAAGGCGGGACTGCGACAGAAATAGAGAGACCCGCCTGCCAGGCGGCAGGTAGAGGCAGAAACTCTGAACCGGGAGAGGGAGGGAGGCCAGAGAAGAGAGCCAAGGAGGGGGGGGCGGATAGAGAGAGGGTGACAGGACCGCAATGGCGGAGTGGACCTAGCTCAGAAGGTGACTGCTTGCTTAGCATGCTCCAGTGCTCCGGGCACTGGGTTCCATCCGCAGCACCGAATACACCAGAATAAATCAGTGTAAACCAGGTGTGCACTCCTGTAATCCTGGCACGTGAAAGGCAGAAGCAGGAATTGTGATGAGGTTGAGGATCCCAGCTAGAGCCATTTTTCAAAAATAAGTAAAAAAAAAAAAAAATCACACACACACACACACACACGTCCTCAAGTCTTCTATCCTTTCCCATTCTTCCCCCAAAGTGAATAGTCCATAGTTTCCATAGGTTCCTGGAGCCTCAGAGTTCCAGGTGTGTGTGTGTGTGTATGCGCACAGGTGTACGTGCTCCTGTGTTGTGTGTGTGTCTGCAAAGTGGGGGTGGGGCGATGGCCTTGGACACTTGCGAAGCCACCTCCCCTCTGGCTCCAGTACTGCGGGGGCTGCTATCTGAGCAAACTGTCCTCGGGGTCAGGGACAACAAAGAGCCAAAGGTCACGTTGCTGCATTCCCCTAGCCCTTCCCCCCCAGAGGCCACCAGCTTTCCAGGATGGGAAGATCACAGGAACACAAATTTGGGGGTTGAGCCCACAGGGTTCCCCCAAAGAAAGAGACACTCATGAGACGGAAAAGGTGCCTTTTTAATGGCCTAACCCAGCCAGTATCCCAAGTCCCAGGCAAGAACTTGACCTCAGGAAGAGTCCCCCACACCAGCCCTTTCTCATAGCCAGGGTGGGGATGGGCTTCAGAGAAAAATCACAGTGTCTCCTCGACTCTACCCCCTCACCCAACCCACACCAAGGAGATGGTGATGACAGGCCTGCCTGTGGTTGCCATCGTGGTGCATAACAGCTGCAATGTCACCTTGACAATATGGTGGCCCTCCGTGCATCCAGTGTGTCAAAAAGACATCGTGTGATGTGGTGGCCAACTTGGCATCTGTTATATCAAGAAGTCTGCCAAAACAAAAGAAGTGATCCCAGGAAACAGTGGGCCGAAAAAGACGTGGCGTGACAGTCACACATTCAGGTCAATCCAGATGTCCATCACAGCTTCCAAAGGGCCAAACAAGATGTCATCCTACATGGAGACCCACTGGGTCAGCCAACGGCTTCTCTCAATATAGCAGCTTTCACAGTATACCCAGCATAGCTGCCATCACAACACCGCCACCCAAGGCCCACCAGGGAGTCCATGACAGTTACCACAGTAGCCAATGGGTCATCACAGTAATACACCAAGTAACATGCTAATCAATGGGACAAGCAAAGTGTGACCAGAAGGACCAGAGCCCAAGAACCGGGTGTCTGTCACAGTTAACCCCCACCGTGTTCCCATTTGCCCTGCTAGGATGCGTTGAGCAGAGAGCGGGAATAGAGGCTCTGGTAATAGACCCCTGGCTCCCCACTCTCAGCCCCGTAGCCTCCAAACCCCACATCCAGTTTGGAAGGTGCTGATGTCTGTTCTGACATCAGGTTGTTGATAGAGAAGGGGTGGTTGAAGTTGTAGGGTGCATCCAACTTCAGTTCCCCTGGGAGCTCCAAGCCAGTGAAATAGGGTGTGGAAGAAGGGGGAGAGGCGCAGTCCAGACCCCCCACATCTTCCCCATTCTGGGCCTCAGGCTCAGAAGGCACAGGCTGGGGCTGAGCCTGAGAGGTGACTACTGTGGCCACTGTGGTTGTGGCAGAGGTGGCTGACCCCACCGCGCCATTCCTGGTGGTTCCTTTCTTCGCCTTCTCCTCCAACTTGAAGCGTTTCTGACGCCGAAGGTAGCAGCCGTTCTCAAACATGTTCCCGGAGCTGGGATGTAAGGCCCAGTAGGAGCCTTTGCCCGGCTTGTCTGGGGAGCGTGCCACCTTGACAAAGCAGTCATTGAAGGACAGTGAGTGCCGGATGGAGTTCTGCCAGCGTTGCTGGTTCTCCCGGTAGTATGGGAAGAGGTCCATGATCCATTGGTAGATCTCACTCAGGGTCAGCATTTTGCCTGGCGCCTGTTGGATGGCCATAGTGATGAGAGAGATGTAGGAATATGGTGGCTTGGCATGGGCCAGTGGACGCCGGTACCCCTTTGCCATCTCCTTGCCAGGTACCAGCCCGGACCCTGGGGCTCCGTAGCCGGAAGTACTGCTTCCACTGTTGCCACCAGTACCCAGGCCTGGGAAGGTGGGCCCCAGGGGTGCTGTGGTGGCTGGGGGTGCCAGGGGTCCTGTAGGCAGTGGGGAGGCCTGAAGCCCTCCTGGAGGGTAGGGAGAGCTGAGAGGGTTCAAGGTCATGTAGGAGTTAAGAGGGGCCATGGTGGGCATGGGAGTCACCGGAGAGTACACCTGTGGTGAAAGAAACAAGAGATGTGGTCAGTGTCTCTTCACTGTTTTGCTCGGCAAAGGAGCTCCTGAATACAGGTCCATTTATGCCTTCTCAAGAGAGTCTCACACAGCCCTAACCAGCCCCAAACTCGCTATGCAGCCAAGATGACTTGGAATTCTCCATCCTCCTGCCTCTACCTTCCAGTTGCTGGGAATACAGGTGTGGGCCGTCAAACCCAGCTCATCTGCCCATCTTGCCTTTTCTACAAGTCCCTCCCACCATTCCCTCTCTCCAGAGGTTGCTGTCCATTTGCACTCCAGGGTTCTGTTGCCTTCCACACCCTCAAGGTCACGCTTGAACACGGGTTTGGGAAGGAAGCACGGGTGGTCTCAAACACCGAGGGAGTCTCTGAAACCGGTTTCAGGTATCTGCCAGGTTAAGGCCATTTTCATTTTTTAATTTTTGTTGTTTAGTACACAGTCTCATTGTGTAGACCAGGCTGACTTGGAACTCACAGAGATCCGCCTGCCTCTGCCTCCTGAGCGCAGAGCTCTTAATCCACCTCCCAAAGGGTCACAGGCTTGTACCACTACACCTGGCTAGGCTGGCTCAAGACCATTTTTTTTTCTTTTCTCTTTCTTTCTCTCTCTCTCTCTTCTTCTTCTTTTTCTTTTCTTTTCTTTTCTTTTCAAGACAGGGTCTCTCTGTGTAACAGCCCTGGCTGTCCTGGAACTCCCTTGTAGACCAGGCTGACCTTGAACTCACAGAAATAGATCTACCTTCCTCTGCCTCCTGAGTGCTGGGATTAAAAGGCACATTCACTGCCTAACTTCAAAACCATTTTCAAAATCACAGTAAAAGTATCAGTTCTACCAGGCATGATGGTACAGTCTGTAATCCCAGCTACTTGGGAAGCTAATAATCACAAATTCAGGGCCAGCCTGGGCTTCAGAGAGACTTCTAGGATATTGACCCAAAATATAATAAAAAGGGCAGGAGGTGTGGCTCAGTGGTAGAGCCCCTTCCTAGAATCCCCCAGTAAGGGGCTAGGGCATGGCTCAGTGGTAGAGCTCCTGCCTAGAATCCCCCAGTGAGGGGCTAGGGCGTGGCTCAGTGGTAGAACCCCTGCCTAGAATCCCCCAGTGAGGGGCTAGGGTGTGGCTCAGTGGTAGAGCCCCTGCCTAGAATCCCCCAGGGAGGGGCTAGGGTGTGGCTCAGTGGTAGATTGCTTATCTAGCATACAGGAGAGCCTGGATTCAATCTCTAGTAAATCAAAAAAGAAAAATTTTGTCAACCTTTTGTACCCTCTTTCATATGAGTGCATAACGAGCTTTTCATTGATCTGTGACATCCGCTATTGCAATAGACCAAAGGTCTAGCTTGTACTCATATCTTGCCAGCTGTGTAGCAAAAGTAGAAGATAGCGTCTCTCTTCTCACTAAATTCTATTTATTTATTTGTCTTTGAGACAGAAATTCACTGTGTGTGTAGCTAATGCCGCTCTCAAACTCACTATCCTTTTTGTTTGTTTGTTTTTGAGACAGGGTTTCTCTGTAGCCTTGGAGCCTGTCCTGGAACTAGCTCCTGTAGACCAGGCTGGCCTCGAACTCACAAAGATCCACCTGCCTCTGCCTCCAGAGTGCTGAGATTAAAGGCTTGCACGCCCTGCTTCTTCAATGATGTTTTAATAGTACAGAGAGGGTTTGAGGGCTGGAGAGCTGGCTCAGCAGTTAAGAGCACTGACTGCTCTTCCGGAGGACAGTTCCCAGCATCTCCATTGGGCATCTCACAACTTCCTATAATTCTAGACCCAGGGGGATATGACACCTCTAGCCTTCTGGAGCACCTGCCCTCACAGGCACATAACTATACACATATACATAATTAAAATTAATCTTCAAAGCCAGGCAATGGTAGCACACACCTTTAATCCCAGCACTAGAGAGGCAGAAGCAGGCAGATCTCTGTGAGTTCGAGGCCAGCCTGGTCTACAGAGCTTGTTTCAGGACTGGCTCCAAAAGTCGGTGGTGGTGACGCATGCCTTTAATCCCAGCACTAGAGAGGCAGAGGCAGGTGGATCTTTGTGAGTTTGAGGCCAGCCTGGTCTACAGGAGCTAGTTCCAGGACATGCTCCAAAGCTACAGAAAAACCCTGTCTCAAAAAACAAAACAAACAAACAAACAATATTTAAAATGTAATAATAGGTTTTAAATGTCTCCTTGCTAGGCACAGTGGTACCTAACTTTAATCTCAACACCTAAGAGGCAGACACAGGCCATCAAGGCCAGCCTGGTCTACATAGCAACTTTTAGACTAGCCAGGGCTTCATATCTTAAAAAAAGGTGGGGGGGGGCAGGAAGAAGTTCTGATCACAGTAAAGTTGAGAAATCAATTATCTGATTTGAAAATAATTGAGAAATCAATCAAAGTTAGCCAAGTCAGCTGAAAGGTTGATTTATGTAACAAATCAGTGGCTTTCCATTTTTTTCTTGTTCTTTTTAAAAATTTATTTTATGTATATGATTGCTTTGCTTGCATTTATGGGTGTATATCACATCGGTGCCTGGTGGCCAAGGAGGCCAAAAGAGGGGGTCAGATCTCCATTTCCTGCAAGAAGTCTCCTCTCCAACAGTGTGTATGTGCACAAGACATACACATACATATATATGTGCACACACAGAAATATACTCATGCATGTGCAAACACACACACTTCTACTTATATAAACAAACGATATAAACTTTAAAGAATTTACAAATGCACCCCATTTTCAGAAATGTTCACATAGAAGAACATGTGCCCTTAGCTCAGTATACACTACTGTGTTTCCCAGAATCATAGGCAGGCTCACAGTGGTGGCTCACACCTGTGATCCTGGCACCCGATAGGCCAAGGCAGGAGGATCAATGTGCACTGAAGAAAAGTCTGGGTTACATATTGAAATGCTTTTTTTGATAACAAATCAGCACCTGCATATTCTTCTGCAACAGCCTCAGCCTCTCTAGTGCTGGGATTGTAGGTAGGTATTGCCATTCCCAGCTTTAACAGGCATTTGCCCATCATTGACACTGTGCCAGGAGTGACCCAAGCATTTCACAGGTATTATCTGTAGTCCTTACAAACACATGTGTGTACGCTATTATTACTGTGATACTGTCATGTTCTATGGTTAGTGCAGAGACTTGAATAATACACACTAGCCACTGAGCCACACCCCAGCCCCTTACTGGGGGATTCTAGGCAGGGGCTCTATCACTGAGCCACACCCCAGCCCCTTACTGGGGGATTCTAAGCAGGGGCTCTATCACTGAGCCACACCCCAGCCCCTCACTGGGGGATTCTAGGCAGGGGCTCTATCACTGAGCCACACTCCTTGCTTAAAGAGTTCTTTTGACACCCACTTTACAGTGAGTCAGCTATGGCCCAGAGAAGTTGTCAGTGGATGAGGGAAACACAGAAAGGAAGCAAAAGGATCTTGGGAGTCCAGAACCTGGGCATGACAGATGTCCTGGACCATGCTATAAAAGTTGCAGAGTCAGGACAGCCAGAAGTGCCCACCCTTGTGGAGCCGACAGTCTAGCCGGAAGTCAGTGATCCTAAAGAGCAACAAAAACACTAAGCTTGCTGGATGGCCCTCCTATTTCTAGATACACCTACCCTGTCTCCCCACTATCCTCCCTCCTCTCTCTTCCAGTCTTCCATATGCCTGAGCACCCTCCCTTTTCCCAGCTGGGATCTCACAGCTTGGAGGGACCTTAGACTTGGTGCTGACTGAATGGAAACCACCGGGTTTCTGGTCCTCTGACACTGTGAGAATTAGCTGGACTCGAGGTCCAGAGAACAAAGGGAGCTGTCAGAACAGCTTAGGGAGTCAGGGACAGGTGACAACTACCTACTCCTTCTGCCAGTCTCTCCAGGTAGCTCTTTTTTCCCTTCCCTCCTTCCTCCCTTGACAAGAATATTGTGTAGCCCAGGCTATCCTTGAACTAACCTAGGATAACCTTGAACTCCTGATTCTTCTGCTCTACCTCCCAAGAGCTGAGATTACAAGCCCGGGCAGCATGCCTGCTTTAGATCATGCTGGGAACCAGAGAACCAAAGCCAGGGCTGTCTACACATCAGGCAAACATTTTACCAAGCGTGCTACAGTCCCATGTAGCTTTTTTTTTTTTTTCATTCTATGTAGGTATCTGTTTTGGGTATGTACAAGTGAGTGTAGGTGCTGAGGGAGGCCAGAAAAGGCTTTCAGATCCCCTGGATCAGGAATTATAGGCAGCTTTGAGCTGCTTAATGTGGATGCTGGGAATTGAACTCAGGTCCTTTGCAAGAGCAGTATGGCACTCTTAATTGTTGAGCCACCTCTCCCCGCACCAGACACCCCCACAGGAAGCTTTTGCTATATAGACAAGGATAGCCTTGAATCCCTGCCCCCACTTCCCGAAGGCTGACTTTACAGGTACTTCCACCACACTTGGCTCTGCAGGCAGCTCTTTTTGTTAGGTCTCTTACTGTTATTCCTCCTTCCCTCTCTCCCTCTGACATAGGGTCTTGCTATGGGTCCCTGGCTGCCTCCAGATGTAAGGCACTTCTCCTGCCTCCCCCCTCCCTAGTGCAGGGATTAAAGGCATTTACCACCACCCCTGGCTCTTGCACTGGCCATTGCTATCCTCCCACGATGTGTCTCTCCAGCCCCAGCCCAGAAGCTCCGCACCCCTCCCCTTCCAGTGTCTGTCCCCCTGATCCATCTCTTTCCTCTCCCATCCAGAGTTTGTCGCTCACCAACTCATCTCTTGGCCTCAGTCTCCCCCTCTTTGACTCTCTCTCTCCCTTCCCCCAAGACCTGTGTGCAGCTTAACCCCCAGGAGCCTGGTTCCAGCCCTCCTCCACTGCCCCTCTCCTTCGAAGGGAAAAGTGATGGCTTTAGGGGGATCCAGAGTCTCTTAATCCCTTTGTACCTCACTCTACTTCTCCAACGCTGGGACATCAGGACCTTCCTTTTCTGGCTCCCCACCCACCCGGAAGTTCTTCTTGAGGTCTGACCTCAAGCACTCCAGCTGCTCTAATCCACCCTAGGCTTTCCCACGCCCCAAGGCTGGGATGAACCCCTGATGTCCGGGTCTGAACCGGATCTCCCCTACTCAGGGTGCGGTTGAGAGTGGGGGGAAGCCCTCAGGGGACCTGCATCCCCACCTGGGAGGCGGCAATTTCTCCCTTTTCATTTCCTTATTGTTTCTGGAGAAGGGTGTGCTAGGCAGCAGGGAGACACGTCCAGTTCCAGACCCAACCTGAGGACCCCAGCACCCTGCAGGGTGCCCTACTGCCCATCTCTAAAACGGGGGGAGGGTGGGGAGAAATGCTGGGACAGGTAATGTGTAGAAGCCTAAGGTTCTATGGGTTTACCCCAGGATGGTCACTCTCCAAGAGCCAGCTGGCCACAGAGTAGGACACGGGTATTAACCTCTCTGCGCCCCCCCAGCAGAAACCATTGGAGGGGGTCTTGCCTATTCTTATTCCTAGCAGAATGTAACCCACTCATTGTTCTCAAGAGCAAGGAGAGAGGTGGGCTTTCCTGCTGAGAAGCGGCAGGTGCTGCCAGTACTGCCAGTACCCTGCGGTGCATGGCTGAGAAAAGGGGTAGGGGATAGGAGGTGGGGGAGAGCGGGAATGGGGCGGGGGCACGGACTTTCAACAGTAACTCCAAACCATCCAGTCTCTCCTTATGCTGACTCTTCCAAAGTTACATTTAGGCTGGCCTCACCTCACTCCCCTTCCCCCAAGATCTCATTCTATAGCAGGTCAAGATGGCCTGGAACTTGCTATGTAGCCAATCTCAAACTTGTCATTCCCCTGCCTCAGTTTCCCAAGTGCTAGGTTTACAGGCATGGAGAACCACGACTGGTTTGTCAATTTCTGAGTCTCCATATACACTGTCTCCTCAACTGGGTGGCGGGGGGCATCCACATGCCACCCCCAAACTTTAGTTTCTCCTCCCTGGACCCCCTCCCCCAGACTAACTTCTTTAGCTGTGTCCCCAGAAGGACCTATTTGGGGCTGACCCTAAACCCACTGATCACACTCCCAACCACCTGAAAGCCTCCACGGACCACCCTGGCCTCTGCCTTCCCCATAATATTACCAACATCTCCAGCCCTCTCCCTTCCATCTCCACACAGTCCCAATCCCTTCCCCGACGGCTCTGCCCCCTTAACCCCTCCCCAGACCCAGGACAGGACCCCTCCCAGGCCCCTGACCAAATCGGGAGTCCAACCCCACAACTTGAAAATACAGACCCTAGTTACCCCCCTCAATTACTAAATGACTATTGGTGAGCCCCCATACCTTAAGTCTCTTTGGTTAGGATCTATGGGTCCAGAACCTCATGTCCTTTCCCCATCACAATATGGATTACAGGGCGACTGAACAATGAATAAGTCCCTTGCACCAGGACAAACAGGAGTTAGACGTGAAGAGGGACTTTCTGTTGGTTGGGGCGAAGGAATTAAGGTAAATCTAGCAATGACTAGATTGTGCATAGTCTGAAGGGGGTTCCTGCAGAAGGTCATGGTAAGGATGCGAGGTGAAGACTGATTCCTACCACACAGGTGTGGATGCCCATATGTCTTTTGATCTCCCAAGGCTGACGTCATCTGAGGGCTAGTCTACCTAAGCCACCTGTTACAGTAAGTTCTCCAAAAGGACCCTGATAACCCTTATTTCGGCCCCTACCTTATAAGGCTCTCCAGAACCCTAATTCTGATCCCATCCGCCCAAAGCCCGCCCCCCCCCCCGCCCCGTCTTTAACCCTAAACTTTCACCACAGACTTTCCATAGTGGGGGTTCCTAACCCATCCTCTCTACTTTGAACCTCGTTTCTTTAGGTCCTCCAGCTCCATCCCCTATCCTAGAGCCCCGAATCCCACCTCCAATTTTTTCATTTTTATCAGGGTCTCAACATCTTTCAAGTGTGTGACCTCAAGGTTTTCTTGCTAGCATTTCTTCGTTTGGAAGCAAACGATCGCCTCGACTTGCTTGTCTCAATCGCTCTCCCAAGCCTTGTCCCCCTGCTCCGGGCTCCCACACCTGGTGTCTGTGTCCCCGGGTCTTTGCTCTCATCTGGGCCCACAACACGGCCCCTGTTTGCATTTAAGCCCGCAGCCCCACACCTGCCCCCATTTCCCGCTCCGCCATCCCCGGGGACACACCTCGCCCGCCTCCGGGTAGTAGCTCCACTCGGCCAGGTCATGAGCCTCCATCTTCACCGAGCCCAGCATCCCCCGGGCCTGCGCCCCCACACGCCCAGGCTGCAGCCCCCCAGGGGAACCGAGAGCTCCGGTCTCTCGGCAGGCACTGGCCCCGAGTTGCGAACTGAGGCTCGCAGCCCGGGAGTCCCGCTGGCCCAGGCGCCTTGGGAGGCAGTCACTTTTTATAGCCGGGACACCCCCGCCCTGGCCCGCCCCGGGCTCTCCTCCCACCTCCCCTAGGGCCGCACGCTCGGATTGGGGCGCCCCCTGCGGGACCGCAAGGAGACAGACCTTAGGCACCGGGAGCCACAGTCCTGGCACCTGGGAGCTAGCCATGGATGAAGAGTGGGGGAGCTACCGGGGGTGGGGGTGTAAGACCACACACTGCTGAATCCAAGAGCCCTAGAGTCACAACGCGAGGAGAGGGGGAATCTTTCCGCCTCGAGGTGTTCCATCATCTTCACCTAAGAGAGGAAGACGCCACAGCCCCGCATGTCCACCACGAAGGAGAAGAGGTAGACAGTGTTCAGGACTCCACCGGTCCCTGAACGACACCGTAAGTAGCCCGCAGAGATTCTTGAAGTCACATTCTCATTGGACAGACGGGAAGACTGAGGCTTTCGACGACTGCAAGTGCTGCAGGCTGTGTACAGGCTCAGGGCCAGCGGTGGAAAGGCTCAGAGCTTTTGCTCAGATCCCGTTAAGACATCAGATCTCCAAGACCCAAGAGCTCTGCTCACAGCACTCTCCACTCTAACGACAGCCTGCCGTCTAGGGAGGTGGGGCCTCCGACCCCCGAGAACTCCATTTCCCAGAAGCCTCCGTTTCCATTTCCGTCCAGCGCCTGCGCACCACGGACTACATTTCCCAAAAGGCATGGCGCTCGAAGGCCGGAAATGGCGGCAGCCCCGGTGGACACCCGGGGAGGGCGGTCGGCTGCCGACGCGGCACGCCGTAGGGGCGGGGACGGTCCGCAGTGCGGGACTCCATTTCCCGGCGGCCCTACTAGTGCAGCGCCTGCGCTGTGTCACGGCGGCAGGCGGAAGATGGCGGCGGCAGCGTCTTTGGAGAGGCGCTGCTGAGGGGGCGCGAGGGGGACGGAGGCCGGAGCCGCGGTGAGCGGGTGGCGGCGTAAGGGCCTGGGGCGAGGGGAGGAGGGGCGCTGACTAGGCCGGGGCGCGAGCGGCGGGGAGGGCCTCGGGGAGGGCCGGGAGCAGCGGCGCCAGGGCCCTTGCTTCTTCCCCCCACTGCCTAGGACCCTTCCTTGACTACCCAGTCCCCCGCGGTCCAAGTTCCAACGTGGCCCTCGCAGAAGTCCGCCCGCGGACCTCCTCCGCCTCCAGTCTGCGCCTTGGTTCAGCCTCCGCTGAGCACAGCTGCAACTGGCTCTTCACGACCTCAAATCGGCCATGTGCCTTCCGGGCTCGGGGCCTTTGCACAGGCTGTGCTCCCCCGACCCGCATTCCTCCACTCTCGAAACATTCTGTTATCCATCGGCCTGACTAACTCCCTTTCATCCTTGGGGTTAGGGGGCTCGGCATCGCACGTCACTTCCCCTATGAAGCCCTGGTTTCTCACCCTTCCCCCAAATCCTCCAGCTGAAGGCTCTCATAGGTCCCCGTGCTTTTCCCTCCCTTCACGTGTGGTCGACTTTGTTATTAATGTTTTATTTTTGTGCTGTCTTAAGGATGCCGCTGACCCTGAGCTCTGTGTGGGCGAGGACTGGGTGTGTCTTGGTCCGAACCTGGCTCCCAGCACAGCTCACATCCCACACTGGACTGGCTCAGTTGATATTCGTTGAATGAATGAAAAAAAAAAAAAAACACCACTCGGAGGAGATCCACTCCTTAGGGTAACAGGGGAGTTGTTGTAGTTGTTGTACTTCCTTGTGGGAGGAGCAGTTCACTGCTGAGCTCCAGCAAGGAGGGAGTCAGCAACCTTAGTGTTTTAGATAGCCAGACTGCAAGAATTGCAGCTATTCTTCAGTAGGCAGCTGTCTGAAATCAGTAATTACATTTATGTAATAAAATGATTTGCAGATGTAGAAAAAAAGGAAGGAGAAAAGTAGAGTTCTAGCATTTATTAAGAGAAAAACAGTGAAATAGAAAATAGTTTATGTACAAGTTGACAGCCATTCATCCAGAAGTTCACATTTGTGAATTCAGCCAACCTTAGATTGAAATATTCAGGAAACCAATTAACATTGGCCATGTGTAGCTTCTTCTTCTTCTTCTTCTTCTTCTTTTTTTTTTTTTAAAGCATCAGTCCCTAAACAATACAGTGTAGCACCATTTACATAGTATTTAAACTGCATTAAGTATTTTAAGTCTTCTGGAGATGAGTTAAGCCAGGCTTGGTGGCACGCACCTGTTTGTTACTCCAGCTACTTAAAACTGAGGCAGGAGGATCACAAAGTTCTAGTCCTTGACAGGACTACAGAATGAGTTTACTGGCAGCCTGGGCAACTTAGTGAGACCCTGTCTCTAAGTTCAAACAGCAAAAAGGACTGAGAATATAGCGTAGTGGTGGAGCACTTGCCTGGCACACAGGGGCCTTGGGTTCCATTGCTAGCCAGCTGGAGAGAGGTTTTTTTGTTTGTTTGTTTTTTTGAGATAAGATTTCTTTGTGTAACAGCTCTGGCTGTCCTGGAACTCACACTATAGACCAGGCTGGGCTTAAACTCTCAAGAGATCCACCTGCTTCTTCCTCCCAAGTGCTGGGATTGAAGGCAGGCGCCTTCAGCGCCCAGTAAGAGATGGTTTTAATGTGTGCCAGAAGGTGTATGGATTTCACTTGAACACTGCTCTTTTGTTTGTGGTAAGGTCTCCTGGCCCAACCTGGCTTCCCGACTCACTGTGTATAGAGGATGATCTTGAATTTTACACCACTGCTTTTCTGTGGTGCTGGGGATGAAACCTGGGGCTTTTGCATATTAAACAACTGAGTACCAACTGAGCTCTGTCCTCAGCCCCAACAGTACTGATTTTTTTTTTTAAACGGAGTGGCCCTAAGAGATCATTTTGCCTCTGCTGCTAGTGCTGGAATTAAAAGGGTATGCCACCCCATCTGGCCAAACAGTGCTATTTTAAATAAGGGACTGAATTTAATAGTCAAAAAGAAAAATAGGAATATATACTCAAGACAAAACAAAACCCAGAAAATTAAAGAGTAAACCAAAGAGAAAGGAAAGTTTTGTTGGTTCTTGATGTATCATCCAGAAAAAGAGTGGACAGTTTCTTCTGGTCCAAGGAGCATTGTGGTGTGTCATGGCCGGTGGTCATGCCCCTTTGCTTAATGAACAGACATGGGGCGTGGTGATGGTCAGTAGCATGAGACAAAAGGAACACATTGGATTGCACAGGGTGTGTGTGTAAATTTAGAGTGGGGAAGGCCTCCCTAGGGAGGAAAGACTAGATCTCTGGGGACAAGAGAAGAAATAGACTTAGAGAAAGGGGTGTACAGGGTGAGGTGAGCTAGCTGCAAAGTAGCCAGAGGGAGACAAGGCTACCATCTAGAAGACTTTGTAGGTCTTGAGGGCAGGACTTTGACTATGACCCTGACTCTAAGCAAGATGTGGGAATGACAGCCCTTCACATCTGACTCAAAATGTTAGGTTCTTTTAAAAGAGAACAGTTAGCTGGGCTAGTGGCATACACCTTTAGCTGGGCGGTAGAGGCAGGTGGACCTCTGGGTTTGAGGCCAGCATGGTCTAGGGTTTATAATCCATGGAGACCACCAAGTTACTTTCATTCTACAGCCTTTTTCAATAGACTTACTACTTTTATGTGTGTATGTATGTATGTATGTATATTTCTCTGTGTAGCCCTGACTGTCCTGGAACTCTAGATTAAAAGTGTGCACCATCACTGCCCAACTATTTATTTATTTATTTATTAGCCTGTGATGTCTAGCAGGAGTGTTTCTGTTTAGTTTATAGGTTAAATCCATTTAAACTTAGTTACGTCCAATGCTGTCTTCTTAGATTTTCAGTTGCATAATTTAGGACTAATTTATTTGTTTTAATTTAATCTGTATATGTATGGGTATTAATGCTACATTTATGTGTCAATGCCAAGTATGTACAATGTACCTGTGGAGGCCAGAGAGGGTTTCATATCCCCCAGGACGAGCATTACAGTTCTGAGCTGTCATATGGGTGCTGGAGATCAACAAATGCAGGTTCTCTGGAGAGCAGCTATTACTCTACCCACTGAGCCATCTCTCCAGTCCCACTTCTACCTCCTGACTGCCAGGATTACACTACCCTGACTTTGGTTTTCTTCATTTACCAGGCCTCCCTCTCAACTCTCTCTCACTCTGCTGGTCTTCACAGAGTTCTGTCAGTGTGTAGAGATTTTACATTTTCCATAATTCTTCTTCCTTTCTCTCGAGGCAGGGTCTTGCTTAGCTCTACAGTTGGCCTAGAACTCACAATCCTCCTGCCTCAGACTCCAGGACTGCTATGACTAGAGAGTGTGTTCCTGCCCGGCTTCCCTCTCAGTTTCTTTTTACAGCCCTGTCTGTTGGCTTGCTCATTTATCCCGGGGTCCATCCTGTGCCACGCGGGACCTTGTACATGCTCTTCAGCACTGTCCCTCAACTTGCAGAGCCCATCAGTATGTAGGTGTCGCCTGTGTAAGAGCTCTTGCTGTACGTGATGTTTGCTCTGAGTTACTTCATGGACTTGTCAGTATGATTTTATGCTAACTGTGTGGAAGTTCCTCTCTCTCACTTTCATAGAAGGAACAGCTTAAGGATGCTGTCTTGCAATGAGTCTGTCTGTCTGTCTGTCTGTCTGTCTTTCTTTCTTTCTTTCTTTCTTTTTTGAAGACAATATGAAGAAGCCCTGACTGGTTCTGAACTCACTGTGTGACTCCTGTTGTTTTCATCTATTTGCATCTTGAAAATGCTGAGATGAGAGATAGGCACCACCATACCTAATTGTAGGTGGCCTTTCTTCCCTTTTTTTTTTTTTTTCCTTGAGATGGGTCTCACTATGCAGCCCTGGCTGGCCTGGAACTATTTGTGGCTGTGCACACCTGAAATTCCAGCTCTTGGGAGGCACAGACAGAAGGAGTAGGAATTGATGGCCATTTTTGACTACTAGACCAGCCCAACCTGCATGACATCCTGTGTTTAAGAAAATAATAAAAGTATTGGAGATGAAGCATTGTATGTACCTCTGACTGGGACATCGTTCTCCTGCCATTGGACACTCTGCGCATGAACATAAGTTCTCTATGCAACCTAAAGGAAGGAGGACTGGATAGGGAAACTTACTAGTTTCTTTTTTAGGGAGAACCTGACAGCAGTCATGGCAAGTGGCAGCGGGGACAGTGTCACCCGCCGGAGCGTGGCATCACAGTTTTTCACACAAGAGGAAGGACCAGGCATTGATGGCATGACTACTTCTGAGAGGGTGAGTATAGCTGAGGACTCGGCAGTGAGAGCCTTTGCATGACGCTGCCCAGCAGCAGAGCTCAGGAGGACTGTGGGGATTGGCCTGGCCTGTGTGTGACGCCTGGCTCGTCCCTCCTTCCAGGTGGTGGATCTTCTAAACCAGGCAGCGCTGATCACCAATGACTCAAAGATCACAGTGCTCAAACAGGTGAGTTGGGGGGTAAGGTAGAGAGAGGGCAGGACAGGGGCAGGGTATAGAGTTACTGAGAGAGCATTGGTAACACCCAAAGTCACACATGCCTGCACTCATTCGTGCCTATACACACACATACACACCTGTGATATATACCTTCACGAGGACACTCAC